CACCAACAGAAATTATCACCAAAATTTATGTTTTCAGAATTTGAATATATACACGGTATAGTTTTAGATAATTTCAATTTTAGGATGAATCAAATTGTAATACTGAAATCTTGTACCATGATGAATTCCTTCTTAAACTGTATTATAAAAACAAACGTTTATTGATAGATACTCCATTCTCTATCACAGTACATCCAATCTTTGATTTTCATCTTTGGAAAAATTATATTACGAAATGACGGGCTCTGATTAATGGAATAAAGTATCTTTCTACAGAGTTTAATTGTAATCTATGCTTCTTCTATTATAAAAATAAAAATCATTAGTTGTTAGGTTTACTTACAGCTTTTATTTACACATGAGTAACATGTTTTCTTATTTTCCTAACTCTGAGGGTTAATTTTATGTATCAACATGCTAGGCAAAAGATAACTGCTCTAACGTTATTTCCAGATAACTGTTAAAACATTATTTCCAGGTATGTGAGTAAAGATGTTTCTGGAAGAGCTTAGTATTTGAATCAACAGATTAATTAAAGAGTATCTGCCCTCCCTCACTAATGTAACTTGGCCTCATACAATCCACTGAAATGGAGACAGAATGAAAAAGATGTAGGAAGGACAAATTTGCTCCCTCTTCTTAAGACAGGACATCCGTCTTCTCCTGCCTTTAGAAATCAGAGCTCCTGGTTCTTGGGTCTTCTGACTTGGGAACTGACATCAGTACCCACTCCCCAGGCCTTTGGACTAGGACTAAATTACGCCACCAACTTTCCTTGTTCTTCAGTTGGTAGATCATGGAACTTCATGTCCTCCATAATCATGTGAGCCAATTCCCAAAATAAATCTCAGTATCTCTCTCATTAGGTAGCAACATAGATACAGATACATTTCCTATTGGTTCTCTTTCTCTAAAGAACCATGACTAATACATGAAGTATTTCAGGGTAAGTTTCCTAATACCAATTCACTATGGCCAACAGATAGGATCACATATCTTGTACTACATTGCATTGCTGAAGCCCTAGTGATCATCTAAGTCAGAGCACACAAAAATTATCTATAAAATATGATATTCAAAACCAATATTCAGTATTAGAGAAACACAAAGTTATCTACTCTCCAACTGTCATTAAAATAAAATGTGATGTAATATCCAACAGCACTTTTGTTTTCCTAACACTCAATTTTGTCTTAATGTTTAAGTAACGGGTACTCCAGTGTTGAAAATGGTATTTGATTTTGTATACTATAGTGGCCATATCTAAGCCCAATACAACTATGTAACAAAGATCTCATCCACCATGTACACATTAAACATAGGTTTTAAAAGTTAACTTACTGATGCAGAGATACGCACTATCTACCTCAACTTAGTGAAATTCTAAGTCTTGCAAAACATGGTTTAGCCTATGATTACAGGTCCTATTTCTCACTATATACCTCCATTCCAGTCAAATGATTTCCACTGCATCCCTACAGGCCAAATGATTCTCAGCATTCCTAAAACTTGATACATACATGAAATAATTCTGTACCTTTGCTCAAGCCACTCCCTTCACCTAGAAGTTGCCTTCTCCCTTTTTTTCAAGCCCATATGCGATTCCTTCACAGTTTTTTTTTTTGAAAGAGCTGACATGCAACTTCTTATTCCCAATTTTCCCTGACCAGAATTAACCTCTCCTTTTATTATTATTTTACAAAACATTACTCAGAACAACCTGAAGACACATTCTTCGGTCTAGTGATTCTGTATAATTATCGTTGTGCTTCAATACCCCTTGAGGGTAGAAAAATCTGTCTTAGGCACAACAACAGGGTATTTGGTATAGAGGAACATAAAACAGAAGTTTGTTAAATTGAATTCAGGACAATGATTAAAAGAAAAAGTATATGTTGACACAAACGAATTGATAAGCAAGTGTTTTAGAAAATTCATAATTCTCTTTTCATTTCTGTAAGCCTAAAACGTTATTTGTTCAGACTACTCATCCTTTTTCCATAATTACTAACCAGGGATGCTCAATTTCCTACTGAAATGACTATTTATTGGTCTGTTCACAGGCACACTCTGAATGCCTAATTCTGTAACTATATCAGCATGATATTACTAGTGGAAAGATGATTTTAAGTAAAAAAAAAAAAATTATGGAATCTACGATTAAATTTCCTGTATTTTATGTAGCACATTATACAATTTCAAAATGTCTCAATTCTTTACAGGAAGAGCTTTTTTTTTCAATTAAAAAGTTATTCCTTAGAAATACATTATTTATAATACCAAATAGAGTTTACATCGTGTATTGCCAATTATATTGTCTACATGTCTCTCCCACCCATGACATATTTGTAAAATCAACTGAATTAGTGTCTATGTAAAAATGTAATTGTTAAAATGGTCAATCAAATTAGCATGGGTCGGTGAAACTGAGTACCTGAAAATTTTATATGACTTCAATTAGATATAATTACAATTTTAATGTATGGATATAAATGCTAGTTTACATGTTATAAACTGATTAATGGTTCTGGTGGATTTTAAATACTGTAACCTGTACTGATATCTGGATTATTTTCATTCTTGATATTTTCAGTATCCTCTTTTAAAAGTTCTTCACCCTTACTGAATAATTCCTTATTTTAACCTATAAATAGCATTAAGTAAAGCTCCATTACTACCAGTAATCTATCCTCTTCATTAAAAAAGAAAAAAAATAATTGCACATTTTTAAAAACTTATTTATACTATCAATCTATTCTACTGTTCATAAGATTACACACACACACACACAGTCACACACACACAGTCACACACACACACACATGAAAAGTATTTTAGAAAAGTTTCATTCATTTCTTGAAAGTGACAAACATGACCCACTTAATATACTCAACAATACTAATGTTTGTTCATTTTAATGGAAATAAGAGAATAAACATAAAAGCATAACCCTAGTTTAAGATATTTACCTCAGAAAGTTTGATGAGAGCTCTAGTAGAATAAACAAAAATTTAAGAAAAATAAACTCACAGTATATAAAACTTACTAATCTAAAGAAGCAAATGGGCTGTTAGAGAGGAAGATTTAACTCTTCATAGGATATTTTAGTTGAAAATACACACTTATTGAATAACTGTTGTTGTAAAATGTCAAATTCAAACAGCAATATGTTAAAGATTCCAAAAGAATAAAACATATTTGGATCAATTTTTCCTTGAGACTTAAATGTGAAGATATAATAGAAGAAGCAATGTGAAAATGTCAACAAAGAATGTGATTAATAAAACTACTATTTCTAAGGAAAAAAAGGAAAGCTAACCCAAGTGTATCTGAAAACATGTGACTGCCTCTATCATTCAATATTTTCATTAACTAGACAAAAATCAAAGCAAAATGCTTTACAAACCACTTTTATTTTAGCTTAGTATGAAAACAAGTAGACATATACTGTAATGTGAAAATGATGCAAAATATATAAAAATATACAAAAAGTCAAGTACAACCATAGCTAAAATGTTGGTCCATGAAACACTATATTTTGCAAATTACACATCCTTACAAGCATTTAAATACAACTATTTCAGTTAACAAAAACCTAATCACCTTGTATCTTTTTACCAAGTTCAAAAATGCATAATATTTTAGTAGACTTGTATTTTGTATTAAAAACCAAATTGTTAATATTTGCACAATCCATTTATACTGTGGTAGTTTATGCACAAATACTCATTGAGGGTATCAAATGTAACATAAATATAACATACATAAACTTATACATAGAAATTTATATTTAAGGAACATATTTATATGGGAGATATTCTAATGTTACTATGTATAAACACAGCATTAAAGAATAATTACTAATTTAAGAGAAAGGAAGGATATTTACATATCATTCCCACTGATTACCAGTTCTAACTGTATTTCAACCTTCTGTATGGGATTTGTTATATGTCAAAATTCATAACAAGTAGGCCACAAATTTCACTGTTCCATCAATTGTTAGGAGATCTGAAAAATCTAACAATGATGGTGATTTTTCAAAGATATTTAAACTTACCCCATTTAATGGATATGTTTTCCATCCTAGTTCTCCCAGCACAGTTGTTGTATCAAGCAACACGACTGGAATTAAATAGAAAATAAAAATTCCATGAATTTCTCAACTAATGCAAAAATATATTAAATTATTAAAGTTATTTAAATCATTAATGTCAATTATGCTTACTATTATTCACTGAATTAAGTTTAATGAGTTATCTTACTTCAGAAATTATTTATGTATTAAATAATATAAAATAGTATTAAGTAATGATAAAATGCATAAAGTATTTAGAAATTAAACTACGTATATTTTTGCTAAACAATGCTAAATGAAATTATTAAACAGAATTAAGTCATTTTTAATAGCAGATGTTTAAAACTGATAAAATAACTACTTTGCTTTTCCCCTACTTTCATATACAGTCTTTATACACCACATTCAGTAAGAAAATCCTGTATTAAGGCAGACTTAAATGTGTAAAAAATTCTCTGTGTTATTAAATGTCCTTATAATCAGTAAAATATTAAAAAATCATTTTGAAAAATCTTACAATCTTTAAAGCATTGACTGCATTATTATTATATATACTAGGTAGCTTACTTATGGTTAAAGGGTGTGAAACCAAATGTAAAAACCATCCATCTCTTTTCCTGACCAAAGGTAATCCATAATGTGGTCAAAAAAGCAGACACGTAAACACATAATAACATTTTCTGTTAAATTATAAAAGTGAAGACTATACTAACACCCTAGCAATTAAGTTAGCCTAAGTTGGGTTGGCAGTTCTGGAAGAACTTCGCAAAGGGGATCCAATTTGAACTGGTCTAGGATGAGGGGGTTTCAATCAGATATATGATTTTTGTTTTATTTTAGAATACTTTCTATAAACTAACTGAAATATGACTAAATCAGTTCTCAGTTGTAGGCATGGAGACTATTTGGGGGAGATTAGGTGATAGAAATGATGGGGAAAGACAGATGGAGATCAACCAAGGAGGGTTTTTGTAGTGTTTCCGACAGGTAAATGTGGAGAGCTCATGATTCAGCAGATATTTACTTTTAACTACTACCTCCTAGGCCTCCAGATGTCAGCAGGATATGGACCTAACTCTGAGAAACAATGCTTTGGTATCTCATCATTAATTCTGGTTTTTCATCTTGCCAAGGAAGTGGAATACCTTTTTCCTCTTTTTTTCTTCTTTTTTTTTTTAAGAGACAGGTCTTGTTCTGATGCTCAGGATGGAGTTCAGCGGCACAATCATAGATCATTGAAGCTTTGAACTCCTAGGCTCAACGCGATCCTCCTGCTGCAGCCTTCTGAGTAGCTGGGACTACAGGCATGCACCACTGTGCCCAGCTAATTTTTTCATTTGATGCAGAGAGAAGGTCTTACTATGCTATGCAGATAGGTCTCCAATTCCTGGCCTCGAGTGATCCTTCCACCTTGGCCTCCCAAAGTGCTGGGATTACAGGCGTGAGCCAAGGCACCCAGTTGAGGGTTTCTCATTTATAATTTTAAAAAGTGCAATTGTAAGTATGTTATTTGGCATCTGCCATTTGGTGTCTAAGGATTCCGATTTTACTTAGGTGAACCACTGTGATAAATTTTATTGATACATTTTAAAATATGAAAGTATCCTTAAATTCCTAGGTTAAACTCTGCTTACTCATTGCAGAATATTCCTTTAGTATTGTTAAAATCTATTAACTAAACATACATTTGTAAAACTAAGCCATAATTTTTAATTAATTTTTATTGTGAAAAATTTTCAAACACCTTTTCAAGTAGAAAAAAATAGTACAATGAACCCTCACATACTCTTCACTCAGGTTCAATAATTAGCAATTAATGTCCAATCTTGTCTCATCTATACATTTTTAACTACTTCCCCACTGCAAGATTTATTTGAAGTAAATTTCAGGAATTATATCATTTCACCTGTATAAAAATTCAACATGTATTTGTAAAATACTCTTTTAATATACCTATAATACCTTAATTCATTAATATAAAAAAAATTCCTTAATGCAATGAAATATCTAGACAGTGTTCAATATTCTTTATTGTCTCAATTTATTTGAAAAAGAAACAGATTCAAGTAAGTGCTAATAAGTTAGTTGGCATTCCTGTTTAAGTGTTTTTTTTTTTTAATCTATAAATTTCCCCACTTTTATCAGTTAGATTTATTAAAATTTGTTTGGCTTACAACAAATCCATCCTCTTCAAATGTACATTTCTGTAAATCATGACAAACTCCTACAGCCATGTAACCACGTCTACAATCAAGCTAGAGAATATGGCCTTTACCCTTCCAAAATTTCTTGTGGCCCTTTATAAGGAATCCCTTTCCTATCCTCTGGCAACCACTAATCTGATCTCCTTTCCTGTAGCTTTGCCTTTTCCAGAGTGTCAAATAAACGAAATCATATAGCATGTAGCCTTTTGAGCCTGGTTTCCCTACTTCGCATATGCATTTGAGATACATCTATGTCACTGCTTGTTTCAACTGTTCCTTGCTATTGCTGAAAACGATTCCACTGTATGGAATTCCCTAGCTGAAGGACGTGGGGCTATTTCCAGTTAAGAATATTATGTATAGGTCACTCCAAGCTTTTCTATATAGATTTTTTATATGAACCTATGCTTTTATTTCTCCAGGGTTAATAACTAGGAGTAGGATTGGTGGGTTATACAGAAAATGTGTGTTTTTTAAATAGACTATCCATCTGGATTCCAAAACTGCTGTGAAATTTTAGATTCTCAGTAGGGAAACGTATGGTTTTCCCATTCCTGTACATACCAGGACTTGATTTTGTCCAGTTTTTTAAAGTCATTCTATCAGGTGTGCAACAGTATCTCATTATTGTTTTAACATATACTTCACTAAATGGATAGAAACTTCAGTATTTCTTTTGGTGATTTTTAAATGTTTGTAAGTTTAATTCTAATTTTCTCATCAAAGAGTTCTGTAGAAAATTCACTGGTACAGCCTACAAATCACAATATTCAAATCAAGGGGTTCAATGGAGCTAAGTGTCTAAAAATCTCTAAAGCGTATTGAAATCTATCAACAGCTATTTCCTTTTTATAAGTTTTATATAGGAATATGACCAGTAAGTTAATTCATTTAATTATTATTGTTTCTAAAAGATATTAAGGCTGCTTTGTTCTCAGTATTCATAATTGTAAACTGTGAAGTATATTCACTTCAAAACAAATAAAAAAGAAAAATATGAATGTACCTATTACAGTGCAAATGCTTAGGAAACATTTTTTATTGTTGTTTCTTAGTATCTTCCAGAAAAAAGATTTACCTAACTGCTTTATTTCATTAAATTGCAATCATATCTCTTAAAAATTCTTAAAAATAGTAAGATTCCAAATTTGCATTTCAGACAGGTGAATGATACTTTAATATCAAAATAAAATTCAGAATTTTGGATATATGTGATAAATATTTTAATTTTATCATTTGTTTCACATACCAAAAAACCCCCACAAATTCAGGTTTTTCAGGCACACTAATTACGTTGAACCCAGCAAGGTGAGAGCTCCTCCTGCTGGCTCCAAACAAAAGTTATCTAGACCCTACCAGAGAGCAAAATCACTGTAAACTCAGTAGGAGGAAAAAAAATTACATCGGCATTAGCATCAGTAAAAAAGTCAATACTTTTCCATTTTTAATATAATAGCGATGTTTAAATAGGAAGATTAACACCTACTATTTATGTAAAGAGTATAAATGAAACTACAATTATTTATTCATAGCATAATAAATGAGAAACTGAATAAAAAAAATAGCCTGGGGTCATCAAAATAAAGTTCTGAAAATACACGTTTTGTTTTGTAAGCAACATAATGCATACGACATGTCTGAATAACTGCATACAATTTTCCTATTAACTTTTAGAAAAAAACTTCCAGCATATTGTATTTCTTTCTGAATGTGTCCTTTAGTGTATTAGAGTTGCCTTTATTCATGCTTTTGAAAATTATAAGAAAATGTCATTGTGTTTTAAAAGAAAATATCTGGATTAAATATGAATGTTATTACTACCTAAGAACAAAAAACTAAATATTAATTTATTGTCTTTAAATATTTTATCAAGTCTTTACTACATCATTTTAGTAAATCTAAAAGGTATTAGTTTAAAAACAATCAGCATATTGATTTATAGTATATCATAGAAGATCATCTTTATTCAAACAGCACAGTAAGAAAAAGATGAGATTTTATTCATAAATCACTTTGAAAAATTAAACAAGGACAAGATAAATCAAGCCACTAAGAAAGTAGCTATTCTTTTAGGATAATTTTGTTGTAAAAATTTAAGTCAATGTCATGTAAATTGAGTCCAAAGATTTATCAATATGTTTTAAAGTTCAGACAATCATAAATACATGTTTCAGAACTTTGTCTAACAAACCTTATGAAAAATAAAGTAAGGGGTTTCTTCCTAGAATCATTCAATTTAGAAACTTTAAGGTCCAGCTTAAAGGTTCTAAGTTACTAAGTCACTCAGTAACAACACATCAGCAGAGGTTTATGATGGTTCTATGTTCCACTAACTGTTAACACTCTACTAGGTGTTTTTTCCCATCTGAAAAAACACAGGTAAACAAAATTTCAGATACAATCAGAGAATACTTCAAATTACAGACATATAAACAAACATGTACCTTTCTACATTACACTTTAGAAGCAGTCCATTTGAATATAATAATGTTTAAATGCTTTAAACTGATATTTAGATTATCAAATTAATCCAGTTTTAACATCACTGCATATTTCTGAAAGGTAAGAACCAAAAATTTTTACTTTCGGATATACATAATATGGGGCTCTACCCTCACATAGAGTTGCAACCATATTTAAATCTGAAAAAAAAACTAACATAGATTGCTTTAAATAGACACTGAATTATGTTGACTCCTGATATGGTCCTCTCTGTATTGGGAATATTTTACGGAAAAATTTTCTAAAGAGGATCATACTTTCTTAAAAACAACGAAGCTACTTTTATCTAGAACCTGAGATCAATTATTTGTTCATTAGGTGTACTTACAACATTTTGTTTT